TTTTAGAGGGAGAGGGCATAGGAAATGCTTGAGCTGTTCATGATCAGAAGACAAGAAAGAAGGATATTTTGGGTGACTGCCAATGAAATAAGTTCTAATTTTCTGCTCCGGTGCTGAACTAGGACTGCTTGTCCTTAGACTAGGAGATGGGTGGGATGGAGTGAGACAAGTTACTGTGATGTTGCTCTACCCTCCTCTGAACACCATGTCTCTGTCACAGTTAACCAAATGGTGTGGGCTGGGTTATTTTTCTCCTCCAGCTACAATATATCTCTGCATATTAAACTGTTGTGTTTCTTGAACAAAAGAAGGACAAGTTCAGTCATGGCTGAATCCTAAAGGGCACCAAAAATACTCTGGTTTAGCTTCTCCTGTCACATTATCAGAGAGTATGTGGCAGTAATAGGAATTCCTAAGTCTCTTCCACCTACCCTGCATTTCATATCCTGAAGGAGCAGCTCCTGTCTACTCTATTCAGAATGCATTGTTTTCTCACATACATACCTCATTTTTTCTTCTGGTAGGTTTTAAGAGCTCATTAAAACTGCTTCTTCCCTTTCACAGGACTCAGATATTTATGCATTATAAAACTTCCCTTTTGTCTATAACACAGGTTGATTTTACTGCCTAATTTCATTGTTCCCAAGCCTACATTAATGAGACACTCCAGGAGAAATCTTAACATATATATTGCCTAGAACGGAGAAAATGGTATCATCTACTAGAATAAATAAAGTTGCGAGAAATTCTAAGATTCATAGACTGCCAAAATATTAATTTTTGCAGATTAAATAGTATTATTCTTGTTTACAGAAAGCTGTCTATGGACTTTTCAGAATAGGCAGACTTACTAAATATTTTTGAAGAGCAGGAAGAACAAAGCAGAGTAACAGTCTGCCCAGCCTTCCTCCAGTAACCCTTCCTGCTCCAAAGTGGGAATGGCTTCTGTGAATACATTGAGCATGGATTCTGCCTTTTACTTTCATTGGTTCCAAATACCCATCACCTTTAGCACTTGTACTGAGTAGCAATGAATTGTCCCTCCACTCTGAACAGGGGGATGGTGTCAGTTCTTGCTTACTAGAGACACACCTTGGAGGGAACAAATGTCATGGCAGGGGCAGTTCACCCTGAGATGCTCTTTCCTCCATTTCTCGTGCACTTAGAAGCCAGGAGTCATCTTAGGTAAACCCAGCTGATGTGGGGCATGTCCAGCTACCTCACAGGTCCAGTCAGGCAAATATATTCCAGATATCCACATCAGGTATTTGGTGGGAGATGTAACTGTACATTTCAAGGACATAGGTAATTCAAGATAATTGAAACAGCAACAGGGGCACGTGGCTTTCTCTTCACTGCACTTGATATGTGGGTAATTGGTTTTTCTTTGCATGATATATATATAGTTCATGTACTGATGACAAGTAGTTGTTCAAAATATTTGCAGCTCTGGAGAACCAAAGTGCTTCCACTGTGGGTGTTTATCGTCTGATGAAAAATACATAATTTTGTTTGAGGAGTTTATTTCTGGAGTCCAGAGAATAGCTTAATCACTTTAGAAGGTGAATTTATGAAACTGCTGTAAAATATCATAGTCTATAGAGTAACTTAACATGTGTACCACGTGGCTTATAAAATAGAACAGTATTTAAAAATAAAAAATTAGATAATTATTTGATAGACTGTCTATTATTAAAAAAATAGAGGAAATGAAGATGTATTAGAAATCAACAGTGTTCTTATTTTATTTGGAAAATATAAATTGGTGGAAAATGAAATAGCTGTAAAAATCTATTGGTTTTAAAGTCCACTGAGACTTTTAAAATATAAAATTGAAATGGTTATCATCAAATGCTGTTCATTCTCATAAAGCAAACTCAGTTTATCTGAATGAGTTTCCAATTATTTGTTTGATTTGTAAATAGTTTATGAAGAAATTTTCAAAACTACATTTTCTTTTGAAGCACCTTCTGTGCTGTGAAAGAGATTTGACTTTGACAACAATTCTTTATGGAATGTAAGGCTAATGCATCAGACTTGCTTAGGTCCTGTGTGGAGTTATGTAGAGGTGCTGCTGGATGGCTTCAGGCTGCTTTCAGATTTTACATGGAGAATATAGAATTCATAATTTTGAATCTACTCTCAACATTTCAGGATCTCATGGTTATATATAAAGGATATGGAGCCATTTGATTTATGCAGACATGTTCTTCGTTGTGACAAACCTTATTGGCTGACAAGGAAGTGACACTGCTGAGCAGCCAATATATCTTCCTGGGCCTTTTTTTGATGAGCATAAACAAACTTATTAAAAAGGAAAAAAAATCGTTGTCCACTTTGGTCATACAAAGAGCCAATAATAGTCTTAGGTTACATGTCCAAGGGGCTGGATGCTCTCAACTCATGGGTTCTCAGGAGGGTATGGTGTATCCCTCACCAAATTGCTCAAATTGCTTAAATTGCTTAAAGACTTTGCTCTGACATACAGCTTACACACCTCCAACAGAGGGGTTTGTATATTCATTACAGGTTACAGGGATACTTTCAGGAAGATCTTTGCTGGATATTCTGTTGTTTGCATGTACTGTGCAAAGTATTATTATTAAGTTATTGTGCAGTTCTTGATAGTTACTGAAGATAAGATAGGTACTTTTTTTGGTGTCAGAGTAAAATCAGACACATAATTTCCATGCATCAATAAATGCAGGTTTCAAAAAGTGCCAGTTTGCAAGAGAATTTTGTTTTGATCACTTCATACAATTTCTCCCACAGTTTCTCATAGTGTCCTAAAATCTTGCTGTTGAAAATACAAGAAAAAAACAGATAAAACGAGTGTCCTAAAAGAGAAGCTGGAGTTAAGTTAATCCAAATACCAGCAACTAACACACTGACCACTAATATCAAGCTGGAATACTGTGCTGGTAAGGAACTTCGGGCAGGAGAGTCCGAAGCCCCAGGCAAAGCCCCAGGCAAACATTCCATCTTGCTTCCCTCCACACTATTCCACTTGACTTTGAGCCTTCATTCTCTCAAGTCACAAATACTTGACTCACTGGTTTAGGATGACACGTAGACTGATGTCTTGAGCTTCAGAATTATTATTGTAATGCAGCAACTTATCAGTGTCAGAAATAACTGATCTGAAATGAACCAAATGGGAATGGGGGAGAAATGGACAGCTCTTCTCGCTGCCTGACAGTCTCCCACATCTGTAATCAGGAAGCACAGCAACAGTATCTCTGAAAGCTGTCTGGTGAGATACACATGTATGAGTGAGAGATAGATTGTTCAGCTCTAGAGAAAAGCATATGGAAATGCTAAAGTATATCAGGAAAACTGCACTGATTAGTCATGTTGCATTTGCTCCCTTCTTTTGGGCAGATGCATGATTTTGCTCTGCATGTTCTGAGCAAAGGAGCTTGGCACTTCTGACACCCAGTGCTCATTCTGTTCCACTCTTCTTGCCTGCACTGTATGTTTGGTACCAAAACAGCTCAGAGAGCTTTGTAATTATAATGTGTATAGGGTTAGTCAGGGTTTAAAGATGTGTGTCTTTTTGTATGGGCCCATTAAGTGGACAGAAATATAAATATGTGCTGTATCTTGCTTTTTGATACTCAAGCTGGTGTTGGTCAGTGTAGACAAATCCCACGTCTGCCTGAGCTGACTGTGGGAATATCCAATTTGCTGCCACAGCTGGAACTGCTGAGATCTCCAATGCCTTGACTTGACTACTACTGACCACTTTGTTTCTCACATCCTAACATTCCATGAACTTTCTGACAACAGGCAGAAGACTGGTAGGTATTTTCAGAGTATTTCTCTGACAGTGGAAAGGAGGCTATGTGCTCATGTGTTCTGTAACACCTGCCTGAACAGTCTTGAAAATTCCTGGTCAGTAATGGAAAAAAAGTTAGGTGTAGCTTTGGATATTGCATGGATGTCTCTTGCCAATATTCTAGTGAAAGAGGATGGATGTACTGTAGACCTAGAATACTCTTCTAAAGTCCTTTCTTTTAGTTGAAAAATGGTCCACAGTGACTGTAAGACTGGAAATGTGTTTTGTTCTGGAAAGATAAGTAAGTTGTATAATTGCTGTTAGAACAAAAATTAAAGATGGAAAAAAAACTATGACTATCATCAGAATACTTCCTAGTCTTTAGAACAACTTTTCCTCCACTTTAAAGGGATTTTCTTAGTTTCCTTTGTTTTTTTTTTTTGTTTTTTTTTTTTTTTTTTTTTTTTTTTTTTTTTTTTTTTTTTTTTTTTTTTTTTTTTTTTTTTTTTNTTTTTTGCCATAATGGTTGTTAATTGCATAATGTGCACATTTATTAATAAAGAAGAGGTAATAAATAAATCACTTTTGGGGATTAAAAAAGGCAACAAGATTACACCACTTAAAATTCTCTATGGGTAAATACATTTGGGTAAATACATTTCTCATACTTAGGTACAGCCACGTTTCACTGGGGCTGAAAGAAGCTAGTGGAAATACTGTGTTGGAGACAGCATTTTTGAATATAAGAGTGTGGTTACTCAGATTTTGCTGGTTCATGGTGTCCTGTTAATATATCCATGCTTCTTCTTGAGTTTCACATATTTTAATGTAGAAGCTGTAAAACTGCTAAAAGTTCACACCCTAGCCTTGCTAATCTTGAAGGTGAAAGAGATTGATACAGAGATTCACCCATCCTGGTGTTTTATACATTCTGGGGAGACAAGCATTTCTCTTTGTGGACATTTTCCATGTCCATCACATTTAATGGAATTTTATTATATTACATTCCCAAGGGAAATTACATGCAAATAATGGATCAGATGATGGTTCCAAACCATCATAGTAACCATGTGATTTCCCCTTCATAGTCCTTGAAATTTTATTGTCTTCTGAAAGAAAACATCACTTGACTCATGGCATATTCAGAACATCAGAAATTCACAATATAGGTAAAACTGCTTGAAGAATAGTTTTTTCCCCTGAGTAGACAGTTTTTACTCACCCCTATCTCTGTGGCTTCTTTCATGATCAGCTGGGGTGTTTTGAACGTTTCCTTAACTGTAATCCCTGAAACCATTCCAATGGAAGGGCAGTTTTTCTCTGCCAAGTCTGGCAAAAGAAAAGATATAAAAACAACAGTTTATTGATCCTGCAGGTCTCCAACATTGTCATACTGAAAGTAGTTTCAAGATGGACAAGATCTCATCTGAAATACCATGGGTATATTACTACACAATTTTTACCCTAATGTTTTATGAGATGACCAAGCAATTCTCTTTTTCTGGACTCTGGGCTAGGTTTCCTTTTGTCAGTCCATGATATTACAAATCAGTGATGTACACAGTTCAGCATAACTTAATCAATGTCTGTTTTAAAGTAAATGTTTAAAAATAATTGGAAAAGCATATTTATCCTCTATTACTACCAGATGTATACTGGCAGAAAATGCAGAGAAATGCAGCAATGCTGTCCTCATTTGAACTGGTATTAGTCATGCTAATTGGAGCCTTTTCTCCACAGCATGTGCATGTGTGTATGCAAGGGAGTAGACCCTCTGGACATATACTCAGAGTCCAGCAGCTTGGTATATTGGCTCTTTCCATCATTGCATGACATGATCTGTGCCTGCTGCTAAGTCATTATATTTGCAGCAAATTGTGGTACTACTTTGCCTTGTATTTCACTGTGAAAGCTCTAACCCTTTTGAATCCCCCATCCTTCCAGGCAGCCAGGCAGCCTATTTGCAGCTGGCACTTTTCAGCAGGGGCCTGCTAACTTAATTTGCTATTGTCTGCTTTTACAGAAGTGATGGACTGTAGGCTCATTGACAGATAAATTTTTTCATTATCAGCATATGCAGCTGTTTGAATACTTACTGTGCCCTCATTCTTGTCCATTTTCTGCTTATTGTCAAATAAGCTAAAGTGTTTAGTGGAAAGCCCAGCTTCCCAAGTCAATTTTGCATGGCATTTATTGTTTAAATAAAACAGACAGCATCACAAAAAAACTTCCCGGGAACATACATGTCTTGTATAATTGCCTCTGAATAAAATTATGCTATGAACATAAATCTGAACTGCAGAGTTGTTCGATGCAGTTAGAAATTTTTTTAATTGCTTTAATATTTATTGCAGTTCTTAAAAAGGAAAGTACAGCATTTTTAGGAACAAATACCTTGCAGAAGTTTTTTACTCCACAATTAGTGACCACCTCTACAGTTTATCAGGTGAAAAAAATATTTCCTTAAATGAAATAAAACCAGTTTAGTCTTTACTACTTATATGCAAGCCACAGCCTGCATGCCAGCAGGCTATTGCCTTAGCTGTGCACTTGAGATACTGCTTATCACACAGAACAACTGAGTGAAGCAGCTGTTGGCCTGGAGGCAGCAGGACAGGCACAAAATTTCTTCACTGTATGAGCTGCTAGGGTGCTGAGTTACTGATGATTTTCTCTGCCAAAAGCCATAATCTGGATTTGAAAAGAAAATAAAGGTCTAATTAGCTCATGTTTTGTGCTTTATCTGAAAGCCATGACTTACCTACAGAGAGGTGAATGTAGCAGAGCACAGTCACTTCCCATCACCTGAGTGACCCCGAAGTTTGATCCCTTCAGTTGCTGCTCTCTCTGTGAGGCTCCTGCTGTTTGCAGTGTTTTACTTCCTCACTAAGCTAAGAGACAGCAGGACAAACCTTGGCAGAGCCGAGGGTGATTTGCCTTCAGATCCCCGTGACGTTCCCGCTGCAGATGAGTTGCCAGCCTTGTGAGCACTGCAGACTGATTTTGCACGCCTGTGTTTACATGCCTGGCTCCTGCCTGCAGACTTCTCTGAGAGCTTCTGGTAAAACTGCAGGTATCACTTGCAATCTGTGACCACTTGGGTGACTGAGGCTCTCTGCTCTTTGCCTCTGACCAGCCCATGTTTTCCTGTGAGGAGTTTACTGAAGATGCATGGCAGGGTATCCCTTTCATGGTAGGCTCCCAGCTGAGTTCTCCCTGTCATGTTCAGAAAGGTGTGAAAATTGTCCACAGAGTTCATCTGTGTGTAGTCCTTCTGTAGTGTCCTGTTCTTCTGGAGTGACCTTGTGCTCCAGGTAAAGAAGGGCTTCTCTGACAGGCTGATTTCTAGTAGCCTGGTGAGGTGTTACTGCAAGTGTGACCTATAAGTTTAAATCCAGAGGTGATCATGCTAATTTAAACCTTTTCTGTTTGGCTCCATAGGTGTCTAAGTGTCATATGCAAATTCACTTTTCCAAAGACAGGCAGAGGCTGCCTCATCTCTTTCCTGGTTTGATTATGTGTCTCACTGCTGCAGCTAACAGATTACATTTTCAGCTATTACCAATTACTCTTTGATATAATTTAGTCTATTAGATGTAGGAATAAAATAAAACAAAATAGGTCAGTTTGTCATCAGATTGTAATAGTCTTGCCACACAAAACCGCTCCAATCATTACTCTTAAGTTAGACCATGATGCCTTCTGAGGCTATAATGTACGTGGAAATGTGGCATCCAGAGTAATATGAGATAGTACATGTGCAGAGCAGACATTGTGTCATGTCTAAAACATCACTGTATCCCTACTACAGGAAAAATAAGTTAATTTTCATAGAAATTCCAATAAAATATCTGATTCTTGTCAAGTTCTGAGCATCTTAACAAAGTTCTCTTGGCACTGCCACCTTAATAAAAGACTCAGTTTTTAGCAAGATATTAAGTTTTTAGACAGATATGAAAGACTGGTGCTCATGGCTGTATATTTGCTTCCAAATTAAGGCTATGTAGCCTTCTGGAAGTAAATAGTTATGCATGGAACTGGAGGTTGTTTGTGTAAATTTAAAAAGTCATATAATAATTAACAGGGCCTGTTAAACTAAGCTGAGAGTTGATGTGAATCAGTGTCATTGGGAAATAAGCTCTGAGAGAGGAGGTTGGATCACTGGGTAACATGTGGATAAAGTAGGATTTGACCTCTAGGCATAAAATAAAAAAGGCAAAGCTTGAGTTCATTGCAGGTTACTGGGGAAGCTTTTCAGAATTCAGGCAGAAAGTTGATCCTAAAGCAGTTTTTAGGTTATGAACAGCTTTGGCTGGGATGAAGGTGAGAAGCTACACTGAGTAAAACTATGATTTATGCAAATGTACAAAGTAATCCAAACTCCATCACATTCTAATTTCTAGCTGGCCTGGAAGAAAAATGGGGCAAAACCCTCTCTGGAGAAAAGAAGTGGGGTGAAAAGGCTTGAGCTCAAACTGGGGCTTGAAGTCACAGAGCTCCAGGGCAAAGTATGGTGTCTGCAAGGAAGACAGAGATGCTCTTCTGTCAGGTCGGTGGCAGACAAGGATATCTCACTATGAAAGGGCAGAGGTTAGATTGGGATATATGTTCAGTCAATGCTAAGGCCATGACTTGTTTCAGATTGACTTTAGAAATTATTCCACATTTGGTTTCTGAGCCACCTTTTGCTCTGGGGCTTAACTGCAAGGCTGGGGAAAAGATCAAGAAAAGATCAGTCAATGTTGGGATACAAGCTAGGATTTGCCATTGCCAGTGCCAGTAAATGCTGCTGAGAAGCTGATGACACAGAGCTGGCCAGACTCTGCTGGGTGTCAGTGCCAGTCTGTGTTCTTGTGATGTTTGTACATGTGGATCTGGACAGTCTGACTAATTTAGAGGGAAAAGCTGGGCTTGTACTTGAGAGTGAGTTTGCTACACTAACTGTGTAAAAACTCAGATGCCAGCCTGTTTTAACTTGTGTGGACTATCTGTGCACAAATATATAAAAAGGTTAGAAATGAGAGCTATTTTTCAGGAGGCTGAAAAACTTAAGGTAAAATGCTCTTCAAATATAATTTTCTTCCTTGAATTTGCTTGGATCTTCACAAATATAGGAGCAGCACAGATGCTGCCAATGTGTACTGAGCACACTGACCTTTCAGCAATTTCCCTGTGTGTCAAGCAGTGTATCTTTCTGGGCCCTGGGGAATTGCAGGATGCTGGAAGAAAACCCAAGTAAAACTATAAAAAAAAAAAAAAATCAATGCTCTTGATTTCAAAGAACAGCAAAACACATGAGTCAGTCACAGAGGCATAATCCCTTACTACCCTCCTTGTCATGCCAGCCATGATTTCATTGGAAATCAATTTTAAGTTCTATCCTAGATGGGGCTTCTTCTGACTATGTTTTTCACAAGTCCTTTGATTTTTTTTCATGAAAGCTTTAAAAAAAGAATGAAGTTGGTGGCTGACCAGTGGTAGCTGATGAGTTAATTGAATGCTTGGCTTTGAGGGTAAGTAAAAAGAGTGTAGCCAGCTATTACCTGGTCACTGGAGAAACTGTCCAGCCTGCTTGCATGGATGATGGAGCTGCATACCTCTGGGCAATAGCTGTTTCTCACAGTGTTACCTAAGTAAAATAAGTAAAATAAAGGAAAATGTAAAATTATGTTGTACATTACATGTGTCCTATAAGTGTAAGTCATGGTAGACTTGGGTTTGTAAAGCACCACTTTTATTATATGGCAAAGGAAAGTCTCATGGCTGAATCAGTGAATGGGAAGTCAGAAGGTCTAGGTTTTCATCTTTTTTGAAGACTTCCTCAGGAACTTCAGACAACTCATTATGTTTGTGTCTCAATGTTCCAAACTACAGAATAAAAATATTTATGCTTTGACATAAATATATATTTTTTAAAAAAAGATCTTAGAATAAAATGTTTTTCTTGGGTTCCTAACATGTTGCATCCATCTGGAGTTGTGGGCTGTGGTGTGAGATTGTTCACTTTCTTACCTGAAAACAGATACTTTATCCTACTCTTGTTCTGATGGTATGCTTAGACATAAAGAAAAAGCATCAAAACCATATGTATAATCTGCAGCAGTTTATATTAGGCTGTGAATTTGCTTTGTTAGAATCTGTTAGCTAGATTTCATCATGGTTTTGGGAAATTGATAAGTCACTGCAGTTGTGATGAGTGGGTCTTTTTGGGTTAAATTATTGTCTCCTATTTCCTCATGTGCACTTTGCACATAATGTGAAGTAGCTCTGCCTTAATTAGCTTTATCATTAATCATTACATGTAAAAATTAAGGAAGAGTTAAGAAGGAGTTTTCATGCTCATGGAGTGTAAGACTGAGAGGGGATGTCGGTTTAATGTTTGCCTTTGCTAAATAATATAAAGCTATCTTGGCAAGGACAAACTCCAAAGAAATTACAAATCTAAGATTTGTTTTTTTAGAGTACAATCAGTAAGAGGCCATTCTGTGGTCACTCATAGACGAATTGAGGAAGAGCAGTGCTTTTTTCCCCAAGGACTTGAAAAGGAGAAGCACTATTGAAATCAGCCACCACAGTTTGAAGCCCCACAAAGCAGGAGCCCCACTGCTCAGGAGCACTGTGTCAGGGAGAGAAGGCAGATGTTCTCAGACCTGTGTAATGAAGTACCGCTTCTCCACTGATCTCAGCTGTGTAATGAGAGGCTTGCTTTATACAGCACATGAGATTCCAGCTTTTATATCATTTTTCAACAAGACTGTTCAAGACTTGAGGCTTTTTGCTCATTTGAATAGTACAGAAATTTTGAGCATATTCTGGGAGTTGATAGTATGAGAAAATATTTTCAAGTTGTGCTTGTCCAGCAGAGATGATTTTGGAAAAAAACACAACTTCTTTACCCTTAATGTTCAACTTCTTTACCCTTCTTTACCATTAATGTTCATGTTAGGCTTTTAATATTCTTTTTAAAATTGCCCAGATGGCACGAAAATAGCCTGGATAGCTTTTCTGGGATAGTGTTAGGAGACAGCATGTTTGACTTTGTGTCTTTGTGGATGGTCAGTTGAAGCATTGAAGAACTTCATTATGTTGAGCTAATTTTTGTGGAAACAGAGCTCCAGAGAAACTGAGTTTTAAGGTGAGGAGATGGTCAGAGCACCTCTCCTATGAAGAAATGCTCAGAGGGTTGATGTTGTTCAGCCTGGAGAAGAGAAGCTTCCAGGGACACTTTTTAGCAGCCTTCCAGTACCTGAAGGGGGCCTGCAAGAGATCTGGAGAGGGACATTTTACAAGGATATGAAGTGATAAGACATAGGAGAAAGGCTTCAAACTGAAAGAGAGTAGATTTAGAAATAAAATTAGGAAAAACTTCTTTACTGTGATGATGGTGGGGCACTGGGGACAGGTTGCCTAGTGAAGCTGAAGCTCCCCCATCCCTGGATGTGTTCAAAGCCAGGTTGGGTGGGGCTATGAACAATTTGGTCTAGCGGAAGGTGTCCCTGCCAAGGCAGGAGGGCTGGAACTAAATTATTTTGAAAGTCCCATCCAACCCAAAGCATGCAATGGTTCTATGATATGTATTATTGAATACAGTTAATTCTTGATTTAGTGTAAGTAGGTTTTGGAAGCTCAGATTTGACCAGTGGTGAATGCCAGCCTGGGTCATTCACCTCTAACTACCAAAATATATTTAAAGCAAAGGATTCTTTTGACATGTTTTACTATTTGCATTTTTTAACTGGGGCAGATGAAAATACATTGCTCATTTTGATAGAAAAATTGCATGGGACAGGAATATTAAAAATCAGAAGCAAGTACTTACCTGTTCCTACTGAGGAATACAATTTGGGTCACCCTCTGTCACAAGGAAATCTAAGTTGTGCAAGCAAAAAGGAAAATGTATTTATAAAGTCGCTATATTCTACATTTTCTTCATTCCACCAAAGTGTACTGACAGACAGTGTGTGACCTGTGACCGTGCAACAAGAACAAGTGGAATTAAATTGTATTACTCCTGGAGCTGTTTTATTCCTTT